ATAATTATAGCACATTAAACTTAAAGGACTGAGACATTAGGACTAATCGTTTGATAGGGCGATCATTATTTCGATGAAATGAGAGGCCGAAGGACCGTCAACCGAAACAGGATTTCTATTACGCGCATTTTCATACTCCAAAGCCCAAATGGGCACAATGCCAAATTGGGCTAAAATCATGAGACAGTAACACGAATAAATATTCACTTCCATTTAAAGACGTTTAATAACAAATGAAGATCATTAATATTGCAGCACGTACATACACTGATAAGTAATGACTTTGTAAACAACAGCCCTTGTTAAGTAATGGGCGCAACAGATTCCTAACATTCACCAAAGGACTAACTGGGAAAAAGGGTTCTCTACGGGGCCCGGAAGGAAGATGCGTGACGCAACAATAGAACTGTTGGGAGATGTGTTTTTCTGTGCTGTCCGTGCCGAGATAATATAAGTAGGACAAATGTAGAATTCAGTTAGTCGTGAGACAGTCTCCGTCCAGTAAGGAAGTGAACACGGAAGTTCAGGGATCTACAGACTTGAAAGCCGTTACCAGGCAATGACTAGTGAAGACACGGCAGGCTGACAAGACTTAGTATGTGACGTAGGCCGCGCCATAGCTCAAGCGGTTAGTCGCTGGCTTCCCACCGCGGCAGCCCGGGTTCGATCCCTGGTCTGATCAAGTGGGATTTGTGGTGGACAAAGTGGCGTTGGGGCGGGTTTTCTCCGAGTACTTCGGTTTCCCCTGCGAATTTTCATTCCACCAAATTCTTCATCATAATAATCACCCGGGGCAGGTACAGTAAGCCAATCAGTGGCCGACGTGCAGAGTGAACCCAGTTGGACTCCACCCCCCACTAAGCGAATTAAAAAAAATATTTTACATATGGTCATAGACCCACAGAATTAAATCCTCAGATCTCATCAGTGGTTACAATTGTATTTCATGGCTTAATGTTATCAAAACAGCAAAAGACTAATGAATTGCAGTGTTATATTCTGCTTTAGCACAAAACCTGTTCTTTTAAAAATTCTGAAAACCCTAGATATATCTATAATATTACATTTACGAAAAAGTAAGGTTTTTTATTGCTAGTAGGGTGGGACTAAGTCCCTTGTACTGCGGCCGCTTCTTGCCTATTGTACCAGCCCCAGATGATAGGTGAGGGTGATTGTGGAGCAATTGGTGGAATGAAGATTGACAGGGAAACCGAAGTACTTGGAGAAAACCTGCCCAGCGCCACTTTGTCCACCACAAATCCCACTTGACCAGACCCGGGATCGAACCCTGGCAGCCGCGGTGAAATCCAGCGACTAACCACTTGAGCTATGGCGCGGCCAAAAAGTAAGGCAAGTGGACATACAATTAATTTGTTTTACGTAGCTCTAATTTGAATCTTGTCTACAACATCAATACTTGATAATCTACTGAATAAATTGAATAAATATTAAATACTTGTGCTAATAGGAGCCGGGATAGAGTAGTCGGTATAGCGACTGGCTACTGGCTGGACGACCGAGGGGTCGGAGTTCGAGTCCCGGTAGGGTCAAGAATTTTCTTTTCTCCACAGCGTCCAAATCGACTATGGGGTCCACCCAACTTCCTATCCAATGCGTACCGGGGACTATTTCTCCGGGGTTATAGCGGCCGGAGCGTGAAACTGACCAGTCACCTCCAACTAGTGCCGAGGTAAAGGAAACCTGGATCTACACATTCACTCCCCAATACGTCTTAATGGCGCGGTGCTTAATCAGTTGGGCACAGAGATAAATTTACATTATTTGTGCTAATATGAGATCAGTGTTTAATTGCTTTACCCTTTCTGAAAAGTCCTTAAAATATATACCGACCCATCCTCTACACCTCTTTATGTGTACTTTATATGAGAGTTCATAGTTACAATGGTAGCAATATTAGGTTATGATAGTACACGTTTCCCAACTGGATCGTACGGTAGTATGTCCAATGTCGGTCCTCCTATCCGTTTCCTGGTCACAATGTTAGGCACGCACATTTCCGAAATAAAGTCTCTGGGAGAAGTGAGTAGGTGTATCAAGTTCTCTTACCTTGAGTATTCAATTATATTATCATTATTAAGCAAGTTAAGGATATGTTATACCAGCGACCTACTTAGGTTTGACAAACTGGACTACCGGGTTTCGATACTCTACAGGTGCATGATTTTTCTCTTCTACGCAGCGTCCAGACCGGCTCTGAGCCCTACCCAGCCTCAAATTCAATGGATTTCGGGGGCGACTCCCCCGGGAACCAAAGAGACCTGGACGTGAAGATGACCACTCATCTCCAATTAGTGCCGAGGTCAAGAATGGTGGAGCTTTACCTCCACTCCCATATGCCTTCATGGTATAGTGCTTAATTAATTAAGCACAGGGACAAATTTCCTTTTACTTTTACTATAACCGGCTAATATACATTGTTAATGTTAAAAGTTTATGTACATATCACAGGTATACTTTTCTTTCATTTGACACAATCAGCAATGAGGTTGGCTTTGTAGAGCCGAAAAGCTTATGCAGACTGTGGGGAAAACCACTCTAGGAGGGTTCATGACATTAAGTTAAGTAAAAAATAAAGGGCCGGTCACGGTAGCCGAGCGGTCTAAGGCATGCACTGTCTTCGCTCGCTTGGAAACCAGGATCGTTGGTTCGAATCCCACTCAGGGCATGGATGTTTGTGTGCGTTTTTCTGTGTTTGTGCACAGGTAGATGCCTTGCGACGAGCTGATTACCAGCCCAAGGAATCCTACCATATGTCTAAGATCTAGCAAAACCGAAGTGAAAGTTTCATGGAGGTAGGCCTAGGCCCAAATGAGGGCTGTAGCGCCAATAAAAAAAATAATAAAGAAGTAGTACTCAACGCGTGAAACATGTGCCACTCATGGAATATCATGACGTAAAAAATCGGACACGAATGCATTTTAAGACAAAAAAATCGATTGTTTAAAAAGCTATGATAAGGACATACTTTTTACTTCATTTTCCAGGAGGTGCATTAATGAATTTGTCCATTCCTATAGGCACTATTTTTTCCTTGGCACCACAGCCCCAGTGGGCCTAGGCCTACCTCCATGAAGTTCTCCGTTCACTTCGGTTTTTCTAGATCTTAGACATTCGGTAGGACTGCTTGGGCAGGTGATCAGTTCGTCGCAAGGCTGTACACAAACACAGGAAAACGCACACCAACATCCATTCC